TTGTGCTGGGGCTGGTGCCTGTGAATCACTCCCAGGATGGCTCGATTTCCAGCCATCATGATCGTGATGAAAATCTCCGGCTTTCATCTCCTTTAGCCTGTGCTCTTTGTGTTTGCACTTTTAAGAGAATATTCCCCAGCGAAATGCTGGCTCACCCTGGTTGGTAACCACTTGGAGGTATCTCTTTTCAGCTAAGTGTAGCCTGTGCACTAAATTTAGTCCTTGGGTTTGCTGATCAGGATGTTACATGGAGCATTTAAATGGCTTTATGGCATATCATGCACATAGTCAGACTTCATTTCTATGTTCTACTACATTAAAAAACAGATGATTGATTCTTTTGTGTGTGATACATGTCCAGCTGCCTTGGAATGGAAATTTGCAGAAATTGGCACTTTAAATAATGCTTTTGTGAGTTAAATAAAACCATGTTAAATGTTCTGGATGCATGAGCAGAAAAAGAAAAGAAGCTGGTTTGTATCTGAAGTTAAATGATTTATTAAGAAAAGGAAGTTATTATCTATCAGAAGGGAATTGAATGGATTGTTTGTGGTCATAATGGCCTTTAAGATTTTTTAGAAGTGGTAGATCTCATCCTCGCCCACCTCGTTTTAAATCCAAGGCTGGAATGAAGAAGTGAGCAGTACAGCTTTTCTAGTTCCCAGTTGGTTTCTCAACTTTGAGTGACCTGAACTAAACTGAAAGGAAGCAAAAACTGCCTGTGCATCTGCAGAAAAGGTTACAGCTGCCAAAAGCTGCTTCATCAGCTCAGCAAATTCTAGTTGCAGGTGATTTTTTTATTCTATTTATCCCCATTTGTGGGGATTGCTTGAGCTAAAATGTTGGAGATAGCACAGGTAACTGCTTGAGTATTCCTCAGCTTAAATTATTTTAAGCTCATGTCTTAATATATATTGTCATAATTCAAGTTGTTTTGTAAACAGTTGCATTTAAAGAGCAGAAGTATGTTCAGCTTTCATTTCCAGAAGTGCCCCAGCTATTTTGCTCTTCACTCACTTATGTGCCATAGTCACAACACAAGGCACTCGACAGAAGTGAGACAGAACTGCTAATTCTTGACAGAGAAGCTGGTGGGGAGTGTTCTGGAGCTGATCCTGATGCCTTTTCTCCCTTCACTGTGTCACCTCTTCCTCTTGCAGGGAGCAGATCAAGAGGGTGAAAGACTCAGATGATGTTCCCATGGTGCTGGTAGGAAATAAATGTGACCTCCCGGCCCGGACAGTGGAGACGCGGCAAGCGCAGGACCTGGCCCGGAGTTACGGGATCCCCTACATAGAAACGTCTGCCAAAACCAGACAGGTAGGAGGAGGGATTTAAACTAAATGTTCCTTCTCTGCTCTTTTCTACAGTGCTGTCCTAGAGGGGCAGGAGAGGGCAGGCATCACTTTGAAGACAGATGGGAGCAAGGCCTGGAGTTAGTCACTTCCTCAAGGCTAAATGCCCTATCAGGATGTTCTCTCCCCAGTCTGGGCTTGAGCCTGGGAGGCCACTCTGGAGAAGTCATAGTTCATGGTCTGGCAGCAGTGAAGGGAGGATGCCTTCTCAGGGCTTTCTCCGGGGCTCTGGAATAGTGTCCATAGTCACTGCAGGTCAGCTAAGCTCAGGGGATTTGGCTAACCTCACCCATAGTCTATTTTGGTGACCTACAGGCAGAATACACCAGTGCTGGAAGGACCACGTGAGGCTCTCAGAGCACAGAGGTGGAAGTGGAACAGCTAACACCTTCAGTGGTCTAGTGGTGGCTTTTCTCTTGGGTGGCAGACCCCATTCAGACCACTGAAAGCTGCTGCATCTCAAGGACTTGAGAGCTCTTTGGCCTCATGGTTGCTCATTCAATCTTGCTCTCTGTTCAGGGGCCACGGTAAAGTCCCTGTTAGTCTTCGCGGCTCCGTTTTGTCCCTTTCAGCAGCACAGATTGCAGAGGTGAAGACAGCACTAGGGGCACCTTGCTGGGCAGCAGAGCCCTCTCTTCCCTCTCCTGTCCCCTCTCAGAGTGGGCAGCTGCTGCAGGTGATGCTTTTCCCTCAGGGCGTTGAAGATGCCTTCTACACCTTGGTGCGGGAGATCCGTCAGCACAAGCTGCGCAAGCTGAACCCGCCGGATGAGAGCGGCCCCGGCTGCATGAACTGTAAATGTGTGATCTCGTGACATGGTGAGTTTGGAAGCAGGAGATGGGCTGCAGTGAGGGCACACTGGAAGCAGGGCAGGGGGTGACTGCATGTGCATACATCTGCAAGCAAATGCAGCAGAAACAGTTTGAGCAGCAGGTTATTTTTTAATGAAACACCTTTTTGATTGAAATAGCATTTTTTCTGTCAAAACAGAGGTAAGTCAAAATTCCTACTTTCCTGAGGGAGTGTGTGGGAGGAAAGGGTGGTTTATTTTTCCCCCTCATTTCATGCAACAAAATTATATAGAACTGAATTAAACATGAACAACAAAAAAAACATGTTTTGTCCTGCTTTCCCCAGGAAAGCTTCTTTCTATGCTGCCACTCTGAGAGGAGTTAGACTGGTGCTGAAGGTGTGCTCACCAGACTGGCCCTAGAAAGGTTCTGATGAAGAGCTGGGTGGGTGCATTGCCTCCCAATGCACTCCTGTAAACTGCCTCACCGTAAAGCTTCAGAGCAGACCCGTCTCGCTGTGAAAGTCCTGTGTTCCTCAGAAGAGTTTTCCCCATTCGTTGTATCCCCTGGGATATTTGGAACTGATGCAATGTTGAGAATTAGCCATAAGGGGGCTGTTTTGCTTTTATCAACTCTGTGTGCTAGAGCCAGAAACAGTGTTTTTCAGGTTGTTTATGTTCACTTGCCTGTTTTTCTGCTTTTCCTTTCCTTGTTACTTTTTTTTTTTTAAATGATGAGTTTATTTAAATCATTGCAATCCTGCTGGATAGCAGTCAGGGAGAGCTCCTATTGTTGTCCTTGCATGTGCTGGCTGGCCATGAGCCAAAGGCCTGGGAGTATGTGTGTGTAACCAGCTCCTTCCGTGGCAGGAGTGGAGAGGGGATGGCTGGGGATGAGTGCACCAGGGAGATCTACATCTAAGGACGTCTGGGACTGGGATGTGGGAGAAAAGCCTGCATGAGGATTGCCCTTACTGTCTTTTGGGGAGTCTCCCAAGTGCCTGGGCTGGCCCTTCACCCCTTTGTGCAACTGCCGGAGTCCTAAAGAGAAGTGCATTGTATCCAGAGATGGTGTTGAGGGTCTTGTGAAGATGGAGGTGGGCAGCCAGTTTCCTCTGTGGCCTTTTGAGCCAAAGGTCATGAGCACAGCAGAGCTTTTCCCCCAGCCCTCCAGAAAAACAAAAAACTAAAACCAACAGAAAACCAAAACAAAAATGCTGGCAACATTTGCTTCCTGTGAGCAAAAAACCCCTGAGCACCCCACCCCTCCGCTCCCCGCTGAGGCGCGTGTGGTGTCCTGGGGGCCGAGCAGAATGCTGTGCCCAGCACACTTAGCACTGCTAAGGGAGATTTTCCAGATGTTTGGGTCCTCCAGATGTTCAGGAGCATTTCCTCCGGATGGGGATGTGAGCTCAAGGCTCATTTCCTGCTCTGGCTCACAGCTGACGGCATGGGCTTGGCAGGCACTGCTGCTCCTTACGCTGCCTGCCAGGAGCCCAGTCCTCATCGCAGCCGCTGGCAGCACTGGCATGGGCAAGAAGGGGAGGGAAGGAATCTCTTGGAAACGCTCCCTTTTGTTAGGAGAACATGCCCTCTGAGTTGCCCGTGTCTTTTTCTGCTTAGGCAGAAGCTGGAAAGCAGAAATCCCAGCTTATTCTAGCTGCAGTGGCCAAGAGCAGAGAGGGAGGCACATCAAAGCACAAAAGGATAAGTGAGGCAAAGTGTCACTGGGATTTGGGGTGGAGAAGGGTGGGTACGTGCCCGGGGAAGTTTGGCTGCATTTGTCCTGGATGTGCTTTGTGGCTCACATCAACCCTGGACAAGGGGGAAAGATCTTGCCAAACAGTGCCCCTTGTGGGAAGGGGCAGAGAGGGAAGGTCTGGTGAGGTGGCCAAGCCTCACCCCTCACTCTACAGACCATTGGCTTATTCCCTTCAGCAGATGTGCAGATGCTTTTCTGAGCCAGGCCCAGAATTCTAAAACCTGTGTAAGGTTTTGGTTTTGCTCCGTAGGCACTAGCAGGGTCAGCCCAAATTGTGAGGGGTGGGTAATGGTTCTGATGGTACATGGGTGCTAATGAGTGTCCTCTTCTGGTTTCAGCTGACTGGACTGTGTCTTGGAGAGGTTCCCACTGTGCAGTGCGCAAGGAAAGAGGTGAAGCGAAGGAAGAAGCAAACAGATTCAGAGGAGGAGTAGAGAGGGAGGGGGAGAGGAGGAGGAGGAAGAGGACAGGGGGAGCATGAGCCCCTCCAAGGACTATCTCGCACTTCACCCAAGCCTGCGGCAAGCAATTTTGTTTCTTTTTTTTATCCCCATCCCCTCGTCCTTTGGCCTCCTCCCACCCCGGCAACTGTACAAAGCCACAGATTGAATCACAGTAAATTATTATTTGATGGTCTCAACAAATGTCTTGATGGCTGTGTCCTCCTTCCAGAGGGTGCTGCTGCTGGTGCTACGCAAGGATTGCTGGTGGGATGGTGGGGAGGAAAGGGTGCTGAGATTGGCTCTCCATGGACTGAGGTCATGCTGTAGGTCATGAAGGCAGTTGGGGTGGGAAAGACCCCAAAAGTCTTCATCTCCAGCAAGTCTTTGTTATGGTTGTTCCCCACCCCCAACCCACCCGAAACTCTTTGCTGGCACCAAGTTTTGGTAGGGTGGAAGAGTGCAGCCAGTCCAAGCTTGTCCTTGGCACTCCCTTAAGTGCTTTGCTTTTAGCCTAGTCCTTGTGGGATTTTTTTATGGCCTCAGATGCAATGCCTGAAAGGAAAGAAGTACTGGGGAGGAGATCCCAGAGCTGAGTTTACCTCAGCCAGTGCCAGTTTGTTGTTTCTGTGACTTTTTGCCAGGCAGTTCCTTCTGGCACAAGACCTGTGTTGTGCCACAGAGGTAGAATTAGGCCGTTTTGCTCCCCTCCAGCACTTAGCTGGTGCTGACACCTGTATAGCACATATATCTTGGGCTGCTCCAGCTGTTGGCTGTGTGTGATGGTATTCAAATCCTCTTCTGCCCTGTGCTTGGTTTGTTAGTGGTGAACAGGTAGAGAAGGGCTCTCCTGCACAGCAGACAGCTGGCTGGCTGCTCAGCCACGAAGACTAAAGGATTCAGACTTCCAGTCCTTGGGTTTAGAGCAGGTAAGAGTGTTTTGGATAAGGGCTAATCTGTTGGGAATGCTGTCTTTTCTCAGCTCTGCTCCTTTGGGATTTTTGCCTGGGGTCTGACCCATGTGCCCTTCACTTGCAGACCCAAGAGGAGGCATTGCACTCAGTGCAGCAAGTGGCTCAGTACTTGCTGCCTTTCCCTCTCCCAAGATACTGCACAGGCTAACTTAGCTGGCACCCAGAGTTAAGAGCATCAAAAGGGGAAGGTGATCTGGCTGAGTGTGGCTGGGAGCTGTTCCGCAGGGGCTAGCCCAGGCCTGAAGAGGTACCAGGTTTGGCAGCCAAGGCTGGTCAGGGCTGGGAGTGGTGAGGGTGGTGTGTGAGTCACATGCCTCACATGGCAAAACCAGTACAGAAACCCTGGTCACCCCCAGCACAAAGCCACAGTCCACCCAGGGGTTCCCAGCATCCATCAAGCAGCCTCCCACCCCACTCCTCACCCTCTGTCATGCCAGGCAGCAGCAGAATTCAACTCCCATGCTGCTTGGAGGTGCTGCATTTGCTTTTGGCCTGGGCAAGAGAAGACTTGTGCTAATGGCTTGCTTTTCATACCTGCCTGCTCTGAACTGCTGTGGGGCACAGCCCCCACCCTGGCTGCAGCTGCCTGGCACCCTGTTCCTGCAGGAGAAAGGCTGATACCAGCTGGAGTGGGAGAAGTTGCCCAAGGGAAGAGCTGCCCTGCCTGTAGCTGGGTATGCTGTTTGCAGCAGTGCCTGTCCCTGATCTGGAGGAGTGCTGAAGATGCTGAATCTGGTGTTACATGATGGGACTGGACCAGAGGCTCCCAGAAAACCTCCCAACCTAAGTTATTTCAAGTGGGAAGCCTGGAGGTATGGGGTTTGCTCCTAAGTTGGCAGCTTGTGCACAACTGCCCATGGGGCAGAGGGCAGGGGTACTGCATCCTTGCAGAAGATGACTAAAAGCTTTAACAGTGGGTGAGTTGACATGAGGGCCCGTGCTTGGTGGTGTTCTCTCCTTGCTAGCTGAACTTCTGAGTCTGAAAGTAATGTCAGGATTCCAGTTTTGTTGGAGTGCATGTAGGTCTGGAGAAGGAATTGTGAGGTTTGGAATTGACCTTCCCCATAGTTATTTAAGGCATATTTGTTCTAGAAGTACCTGGACTGAAAGGTGCAGTTTTCAGACACTGCAGTCATTTTGTTTATGACAAGGAGTTTGTTGCCTATCTCAGCTCTGCTTCAGTGGCATGAGCTTAGGTGAGGAGAATGTCCAGTTACCCTGAAGGTTGCTCCTGGTGTGTTGCTGGAAGCTACAAGAGTCCACAGTACTGTGGATCTCCAGCAAGTGTGGATACCACCTCTGAGAAGGCTTCAGTCAACATCCTGCTGATTATCTGTTGAGACTGCATCTCCTGTGATGGAAGAGTGCCACCTTTGAACCTGTACTTAAATGGCAGAATAGCTGACAAGGTCTGGTCAGGTCCAGATGTCTTGGGACAAGGTGTACAATATATGTTTTTCTCCCACATCATTCAGGCTTCCACACCTGATTACACAGGGGTTGAGGCTCCAGAGACATCACATCTGAGTCAACTGATGGAATTGCTTGCAAGTCCTTGAAGATGCTGATTAAGTGCTGGAACAGATCTCATGCCTTTTGGTCTGTGAGAGCATCTTCCTAAGCCAGCAGAGATGGTGACTCCAAAACAGATGAGTGCATGGTACTTGCTGAAGGCTTTGGCAAGCATCTGGGTTGAGATTTGAGGAGCTGGCAGCAGTGACTCTGCTGGAGTGAGACAGATGTGATGGTTGTGGGGGGTAGCTGAGTTTTTACAGAGCTAAATGCTGGCCTCATCCTCCTCACTTGCAGCATGGTTGGATAAGGAGGAGCAGACTAGGTTTCCCTTCTGGACTACAGCCACTGCTGCAGACCTTTCCAGCCTAAGCAGTACTTCCATATCACCTCTTGGCTCCATCAGGAGCCATAAAGGTAAGCAAAGCCACCCAAGAAGTAGCTTCCCCAAACAACTGCCTGCCTGAGGTTGTCTAAGTCTGTCTGCAGGCTTAGATAGCCCAGGAGCAGGGCTCTGGCATGGGGCCAGGCTGAGTGGCCTCCCAGGCACCAGAGTGGCCCAGGCTCTTAATGGGAAGGTTGGAAGCAGGAGCTTGTGGTACTGCAGCCCATCTATCCACAGGTGCCTCTAAGGGACCTCATACCTGTTTTGGTTGGACTAAGATGAAAGTTTCTTAGTTTATCTTTCTCTGTGTCTTAGGAGGATCCTGTTTTACTGTGTGGAAGAACAGGGCTAAGTAAGCCAGACTTTAGTGACTCCAGTCCCTCAGACTCATGTCTTTTGTGTGTGTTTTCAAAGGCATCTCCATCCCCATCCTGAGCTCTTGTAACTGCTGCCGGTGAGAGAGGATGGTCATGGGATGGGACCAGCTGCTGCATCTCCTAGTGAGATGTTGTTTCAGCTCTGGTTTGCTTATCTCCTGCATGGTCCTAGTGCCCACATCCTTCTTGGTGAAGAGGATGCCTTGTGGGCTTCTTCAGCCACGGAGGTGGTAGGATTTGGGAGATGGGTTGGGAAGGGGTCAGACCTGCCTCTTTCAACTGCTGGGCTGTTATTTCCTCTGTGTGCTACTTTATACATGGTGATGTGCTGCAGGAAGGGGGTGACACTGCTCTGAGCATGGTGGTCTGGCCAAGAGCAACTGGTGGCAACTGGGACCGGTAGATGGGACTGGCCCCATGTGTAGCTCCCTTCCCCGTAGGGCAGGCAGGCCTTGCTGTCCATTGGTTAAGTCCTGTGGCTTAGCAGAGCCAAGGTACCAACCCCAGCCATGGCTGCTGGGGGTGCACGTGTGTGCTGTGTGTGCCCTGGCTCTGTTCCCAAGCTGCCACAGCCCCTTTTGCAGCACTGGAGGAGCACACAGCTGCCACAGCAGCAGGTAAGCAGCATAGCAGCACACACCATCACAGCAGGACACACCAGCAGGTGAGCAGCACAGCAGGTCCAAGAGGAGGAACTGCTCCCAGCCCTGCCAAACTCTGACACTGCCACGGCCAAACCGGCTGGGGCACAAAGCTGCCAGATGCAGCACACCCATCTCTCTCTCCCCCTCCCTACATCCTGGGACCAGAGCCTAAACCAGCACAAAGGCTTGCTCCCTTCCTCGGCTTGGCTCCGCTCCAGGCTCCACTTAGCATCAATTATTCAGTGCCGACTGACTGAAGCATTGTGGAGGCATGCAGAGAGGTTGATGAGCTTTTCATGTCGTGGGGGGTGGGCAGGGAGGGTGAGGAGCACAGCTTGGTGGAGAGACAGCAACAGGGCAAGAAGTGGCCACTCCCCCTGTCTCAGCTCCTGGTGCTGCTGGTTTGGCTGTTCATGAGCCAGGAAGGACAGGGGCCATAGAGGGCTGCCAGGGCACCTGAGCTGAGCACAGCTTGGGGGGTTTGCAGTTCTGCCTTGAGGTAGTTTCTGGGGTAGGGACCAGCCCTGGGAGACAGATAGCTGGTGTAAAGAATTGTCTGAAAGCCATGACAATAGCAGTGGCTTCACCATGGAAAGGGACTAGGGAGTACTGGCAAATACCAAGAGGAAGAGGCAGTGGGTGGATCAGTCCCTGGCTGATAAGGCCATTAAAATTTAAGCAGCAGCTTCAATACCTTCTACAGACTTCATTTGCCACTGGTCCCAGTGCTATCCAGCAAGTGTGTATCAGTACCCTTGGGCTTTGGGACTGTCCTGCCCTTTGTCCCCTGCAAGCAGCACCAGGCCCTGGGGGCTGTAGGAGGGGTAGGAGTTGCTGCTGGACTGATGCAGGGGCTGTCTGCCCTCCCATCCCCTTGTGGGCACTAGCACCTCCCTGCAGCAGGGACCATGCTGTGACCTGGTGCTCTGACTGGAGCTGGACAGCCTCAAGCATAGCTTATGTTATGCTCACCCTGAGGTCTGTCACTTCTCTGGTAATGGGTGGAGGTCCTAGGTGTACCTGGTGGGCAAGTCCCAGGGGTGCTCTGCCCCTAGGGAGGACTCTGCAGTGGGTGCTTGAGACCCCAAAACCCTACCTGGGGCCCCCATTAAGCAGCAGTTCGGGGCTGGGTACTGCTGTGGCTCCTGCATTAGCTGGAGGGATCCTGTCAGAGGAGGTGGACCCTGTCTGTCCCTGGCTCCTAAAGGGACAGGGTGAGAATACCCTGTCATAGCCAGGAGGCCACAGCTGGGCACATGGTGGAGTGTGGGGATCAAGGATACCAGTAAGCAATATCTTGCTCCTTTTTTTTTTTTCAATAACCAAGTGAACAAAGGCTGTTTAATAGAGGAACACATCCCTCAAACCTAGCATGACTCACCTTCCCTGGGGGAAACCCTGCCCTTCTGGCCACTTCTGCTCCCTCTTTGGCAGGGAACTTGGACAAATGCCCTAGCTAAGCCCTGCTGTGCCTGTCACAAAGGTAACCATGGCAGATGTTCAATCTCAGTCCCACCTGGCTGCTGCCTCTGTGCCACCTGAAGGCCAACAGGTTCACCAGGACTGTTAGCTAGGGGTGACACAAAGCAGCTTGTGCAACCAGGCAGCTTGTGGGTGCCTGAAACACCGGAGGGACGAGGTTTGCTTCACTCCAGCTCATGGATGTCTCACCCATGCTCATGGTGGTGCATCCCTGGGTTGGCATCCAGTGTGAAACGGCACGGGAGATGTGCCAAGAGCTGCATCCTCCTGGCACTCGTGCTCTACTGTGGTGTGTACTGGTGCTGGGTTTTGTTGGGTTTCTTTTGTAGTGTTTTAGACCAGGTTTTAACAAGTTAATATAAATTAACTCATTTAAGGGCACTGCAGATTAAGGTAGGAACCTTTTATTGTTCCTGTTTGATGTCTTTTAGGGGAGCCAGAGCAGTGCTAGAAGCAGGAATACCAGCCCAGCCTGCAGCACTCACCAGGTGGCACACAGGGATGCCAATTTCCTGCACTGCTCTTCAATCCTAGGGTGGCATTTAGCTAATCCTGGCCCCTCCATTTGCTGTCAGCCTTTGTGCCCTCTGTGCTACTCTGGCAGAGACAGATGCCCCTGCATTTATGATACTCACGTTGCTGAAGACCAAATGACAGCTTTCTTTTAGAGAAACCAGACTACTGCTCACATTTGACACCCCAAAGCCAATACTACTCTGGTCATCTAAGAGCAGGAAGCACTGGCCATGAAATTTGGGGTGTGTCAGAGGTACTGCTCACACACAGCTTTTCAAATTCAGCTGTGAGCAACACCACCTTCTGCTCCCAGTGACTCAGTCCTGACTCAGAGAGTGAGTCGCACCCACCCACCCACCTGCCGTGCAAGGAGCAAGGAGCTGTGTCCACCCGCTCCCTGTCCTGTCCAGCCCTCCCCAGGCTGCCTGTGGGCAGGAAAACAAACTCCAAACAGGAAATCTTGGCCAGAAAAGAAGCTGCAGTGGGGCTGCTGGCTAGTGGCCGTGTGTGGGAAGGGATGTGAGGGGCTGCAGGCAGGATGCTGCCCCTTGCTCAGCTGGGAAAGGACAGTGGCGTGGAGAAAGGAGCTTCTTCCCACTGCTGCTGCCTGGATTTAATGCAGTGGCAAAGGAAGGCCGAGATGGAGCAGGACAGACCCACCCCAATGGAAGCATACCCAGCAAACCAAACTAAAAGTCATCAGAAGACACAATCTTGCTGCTGCTTCTGTCACTGTAAGAAACCTCATGCAGTCTGAGTTTATGCTAAACTTTTTTAAACTGTTATTATTACAACCATTTAAAACACAGCATCAAATACTCTGGACAGTTTGGATCAGTGTAAAAAGGAATGATTGATTGACTTTCCCTCCCCCCCAGAAAAAAACCCTTCCTTTAAAAATAAACAACACAGGAAAAAAAGCCCCAAAAAAAGCCCAGACATAAAAATGTTGTTTTTCTTTTTTTAAGTAATAATTATAATACATTAGAAAGAGTCACGGAGGAAGCGTTCCACGCTGTAAACAAGAATGGCAATTAAGAAAAGCAGATGGTAGCCAGGCTCTCACAGTGCATGGCTGAGAAACCCTGACCTCAGCTGCTGTCCCACGCTGGAGCTGGGCCCCACCACTGGTCCCCGTGGCTCCTGCTGCTGCCGGGGCCACAGCCACCCAAAGTGCTCAATCACAAACAAACGAACAGAACCAAACCAAACAACCCCAAAACCATGACATGGAAGGCAGTGAGGTGAGGGCCATCCCAGGGCTGTGAGGGCAAGGATGGGGGAGCTGCTATCCCGTTAGCTTATGGTAAGAGTGGCTTTGGCTAAGGGGCTGAGACTGTTGTAGGAGGCTGTGCAGGAGTGCAAGAGCCTTGGGCCAGTTAATTTGTCCTGATGAGCTGCCACACTCACCCTTCTCCTTCCCTTCCTATTCCCAGTGAGAGAGCTGAGGCCGGGCCAGGTCCTTCCATCCCTGCTGCCACAGACCTGCCCTGGCCACACCTTCATCTGCAGCAAGAGGCAGAGGAGGAGGAAGGATCGGTCCTCTCCTCAACAGATCATGCTTTGATGTGCTGAAGTGCCAAGGAAAGCAATGCACATTGCTGGCTCCCAGCCAGCTGGGGCAAAGGGCTGGAGCAGCTTTCAGGGGCTGGAGGCTGCAGAAAAGCTTCTTAGATGGCAGTGAGGAGCTTGGAGACATTGCCTGCAAGAAACACACTGGTGGGAATGGGGAGCCTGTGCTTTTACCTAAGGTCACTGAAAGCAGGTGGTGCCTTCCCCCAGGCCTGGAGGTGACTGAAGACCTTGCTGCTCATTCCTTTTATGGCTTGGAGGGGAGGAACTCCACACCACCTTCATGTTGAACATCATGCACCAAACGCCAGGCAGTGAGTACTGTGCATTGGACAGCTGTCCAAAATGAGGACAAACCACCTTTTTTAATGTTAATACTGCAAAACATCCCAGGCACACACTGGGGGAGGAGCCCAGGTGCATGAGCAACAGGAGGTGCAAATGCTGCATGCCTGAAACGAGG